TGTTTCCCACACACCTCCGGCCATGTCAATGCGCCTCCATCCTGCTCCATTCACAGCCTCTGGCTGTGTCACTGAACCTCCATCCCACTCTGTTTCCTGGACACCTCTTGCTGTGTCACTGTGCCTCCATCCTGTTCTGTTTCTCGCACACTTCCAGCTATGTCACTGCACCTCCATCCTGCTCTTTCCTACATACCCCTGACCAAGTCACTGCGCCTCCATCCCACTGCGTTTCCTACACTGCTCTGGCCATGTCACTGCACCTCCATCCCACTCTGTTTCCTGCACACCTTTGGCTATGTCACTGTGCTTCAGTCCCACTCTGTTTCCCACATACCTATGGCCGTTTCACTGCACCTCCATCCCGCTGTTTCTCACACACCTCTCGCTGACTCACTGCGCCTCCATCCTGTTCTGCTTCCTGCTCACCTTTGGCTGTGTCACTGCACCTCCATCCCATTCAATTTCCTACTCTTTCCAGGTCCTCTGTGAACTGGAGGTATTTCCACAAAGTTTAACATCAATCCAGTGAACTAATGGGACAGAAGTTATGTGTGGACGGTGTACAATAGTGACCTGTTCTTTAATTCCTTGAAATGATCCCTCCCAGGCCTGACCCGGAGTCAGACTGGTGCGAGCAAGTGGCCCATTCACCTTGATGTGCCGAAACACATCGACTGGCGCCTGCCGGCCACATACCCGAGCTGGCTGTAAATTTAACATGACATGAATTTTATGGGAAAGAATGAAATCCCTGCGACCTGGAGTGTGCCGCTTGATTGCTCCACGCGTATCTTTGTATCGCTATATTTCTTCCTTATACATTAACAACTGTAGACTTGTAAACTTTAACAGCCTTTAAAACAATCCCGTTCTGAGAGCAGGGCACTCTTCATTAGCAGTCATTCTGCACATATCCTGCTGGAAGTATGTGATCATTATAGCAGGTGTGTCTCGTTTCACGTGACCTTCTGATGTACGTGAAATGTGCTGTGTGTCTTCTGCCTTCCAGCAGTGCTTTTTATGGTGATTCTGTGGCTGAATCTGTTCAGGTGTAGCTCTATTTATCCAGAGTGGAATATCTAGCTCTGTCAACACATTCACCAGCTCAGCCTGGAAGATTTTTATGGGTATGATTTTTTTTTTTGATCTGCCACGCCATGCCTCCCCTACTGTCATATAAAAAATAATGAAAAAGTGTTAGTTGTGACATGCATATCCCTTCATGCTCTGCTTCTAATGCAGACACACACAGAGGTGAGTGAAGCTTGGCCTAGAGCACAGTGTCAGCCATTTATATGGAGCCTGTGGAGCATTTTCCAGGAGGTTAAGGCCCTGAGCAGGGGACTGAATTTGGACCTTCTCTGATCAGAGGCAAAGAAAGAGACCTAATCAGCTGACCCCCCCCCCAATGTCACCAAGTGCTTTTCTGTAACAGGCCAGCTGTTTACAGAGACCCCTCCACCCCATCTCCTCCC